TAGAACAAATTGATAACACTACGATGACTAAATGCTCTAATCTATGAAAGTCTGGATATAATGACTAGTAGTAATGCATTATGTTCTATATAAAATACACTCAATACCACCTTTTCAGAGTCTGTTACATTTAACCAAATGGTGCTTTCATTTTATTCTTACATTAATACACTGTTATCACTGCATTTAGACTGAATATTCCTTTCTTGTCTAAATTATGTATTTGTTTTGTTTACTTTCATGTGCGTCGGTGGCACAATGGTTATGTCTCTCGCCAATCATGCAAATGGTCCGGGGTTCGATTCTCTGCCGACGCACACCTGATATCTATGGTTGGCCTGCAAAATTTGGGCTACCGATATCACATACTGAAAATTCCATACCTGTACCAAAAATACGGTGTGGAATCAAGCTGTAATCAAAAGTAATCAAATAACAATCAAAATAATATGACACTCGATTTTCAGTCGCTAATTACGTGTTACGTGTTACGCGTACCGAAATATCACCTATATAAATGAGTAATATTAATTGAATTAAATTAGAAAGGCGTTAGCGGTGGTCATATCAAAACATGAAGTATTTGACTATTGGTCAGAGTTGCGTAACAGAGTATTGGAGTCCTCAAGACACGATAAACCAATGGTTAGAGACTTTTGGTAACACGGATTCTTTTTTTCCAAACCATTTTCGTTTATAATAGTTCTTTTGCATGTTGTTATCTGCATTCTTGTATAGCTCATGAGATATGGCAACTTGAGCTGGTGCCCATCTTGTAGAAACTTCTAAGTTAAGATTTCAGCCCGTCAGTCACTTTAAAAATTAACAACACTCCACCTATTAATGTTGTTTAAGAAAATTATGACTTGAAGGACTGAGTCTCAGCAAACTTTTCCGCGCGAGGAGCTACATATAAATATTGGTGAAACGTCCATAAAGTAGAAGAAAGCAGTTGTCTAATGTTCTTCAGTTCTACAAATATTCCACTTTGTTTGTTCTTCTATCGTGATTACTGTTCAAATATAACATATGGTATACATTAACGATATCAGTCCGTGGTCTAATCCTAGCATGGGACTAACTGACTGACTGGTTTCAGCATAGAACGTTGCACAGAAGTACAGAGGTCCGAGTTGCCACACTCCATGAATCACACAAAAGAAAACAAAAGACAAAAAAGAGATTCAGAAGAAACGTGAGGAAGGAAGAATAGTAACATCAAAAAATATTTGGGGGATTTGATGGATCTGGAAAGTCACAAAGAGTGGAATGCATCCGCACCACTAGGAACAATATTGATCAATATTACCAACTTTCTCCAATCATTGGTTTGGTTCTTAGTATTCTGATGACCTAAACCAGGCTATCTCCACCTACCTGCGTGGCTGGCTCGATTCATGAAGTGAATCCATGTTTTCGTTTGACCACCACTAGCTCTTTTCCAACGTGATCCATCCTATGTCAGCCAGCTAACATTGCCTGCCGAGGAAGGAGATGGATGGCTAAACATACAAAACATGTGTCCTGACCATCTCAGTCGATTCACCTTCACAGCCTCATTGACTGACTCTCCCTCCTTACCTAACACTCGGCACCTAACCTCAATATTACTTACCCTATTACACCACTTAACATGGGACATAGAACACCGACACCTGTGATCAAAGACAGCTAGTCTTTTCATATCTCCCAATTTCAGTAGCCATGTTTTACTTACAGACATAAAATAGGACAACGTAAACTACAGAGCAGTAAACACGTGACAGTTTATGCCTATTATCCTACTGGAGATCGACAGCAGGATTATCTGGTCACAAAAGGAGTATATCACCTTTCAGTTAGTGGATCGGAATCTATGATTCATGAATGTTAACTTCTATCAGTTTATCATACACGGCTAACACAAGAGTCAACAACTGAAAAATACTCATTTCACTGCTTCCTTTGTCCAGTAAACACATGTCACATGTATTCAATTATTTTTATTTATTTAGAAAATAAAAAATATCATTAGTAGTTACAGACAAAAAACAACAGATGTTATTTGATTGACGATAACTGACAATAAAGTTCATAATTTCCCTCATTCTTTCTAGTTGGAACTCATCAACAGGATGTACCTACATCTCCAGTGAGTGATGAGAAGTGTTCCTACAAAGAGTAAAACCCACTACTTTTAGATACTCAAATAAATTTAACAGATAAATATAATGGATTTAGGGCACATTATATTCATTTAATATAATAAAAATTTCACTACAAGCCCGTTTGAGGAATCAAAACAAAATATTTAAAATAGTCGAATTATTAATTAATCACTCGGTTGTTCATCACTGATGGCTTGCTTGAATCTCACCAGGCTACCTGAATCTCTATCCAACGGAATATATCAGATTTTTTCTAATTCTTGTTGTTTTAATCATTCGACTATGTCCTTGAGTCGCAGGATATACTCGTGTACAGTTTTAATTGGTTTTCAACTTAGTGCTGTGTATATCCCAGAGACAAAGGAAAAATATCGTAAATGACTGATTTGTAATTCAGATTAAACAGAACTGAGTCACGTAATGTGCTATCGGTCATTATTTTGAATTGTTATATTGTCAGAGATATCGTTGAAAACTAGAGAGAGCTGAGCAGCTTTTTCGTCCTATTTTGGGACTCTTCAGGAGTTCGCAACAATGACCCCATTTGTTATCGAACCCTAGACATTCGGTCTACGACACCATGCTTGTCTCCCGAGGGGTTTATGGGGATTTGGATTAATCTGACTTCTTGTTAGGACAAAATAGCTGTCCAAAGTGCTCCGTAGTTTTAATGATCTGTCTGACTGATGTTGGTTTGTGAAGAAATCTGACAATTCAGATTAATCCAAATCCCTTAATATAAAGATCACTATTTTATCTGAAGGTCCTGGGAGAAGAGGAAATACTATGCAATACATTACACTGAGAATTCTGTACATCGTGTAGAATAAAGCTATTACTATCCTAATTCATAATCTACGACAATTAGAACTGAGATGAGATAACAGCTGACATCCAACACAGGCAACATGATTGACAAAAGAAGAGCATAAAACAGTCAATAATTTAATTCTGGACCATATTATTACTTCTGGTCTTGTAGCATCAGCAGAGACGTCTTTCAAAGTCATATATAAAGTAAAACCAGGTCCTTCGAAAGAATTTCGCCTACATCTCCAAGCAACTGAAGCCTTAATAATCCTTATGGAGAAACTTGAACTTTATATTCAGAAAAGTTTTATCCAGCCTGTTTTATTACCATGGCCTTGGTACTACTTTTTTCTTCCTTCTTTGTCTTCCTGAATAACTGTATGTAGTCTCTTTTATGCTTTTGCAACTCAATTTTAATCTTTTGTTATCTTATTATCGATTTGCAAACGGCGATTATTAATTATATCACCCAATTAGTTGTCAACCCCCTTGATTGCATAAAACCACTAGTAATTTTTCAAACTTATACACTTCGATTCGCCTTGTTGCTAACGGATTATAACCTTTAAATGACCGTTGTCAATCTACATTGCACATATAAACTCATTAAATAATGTACAGCATTAAAGCGAAGTTACAGGAAGAGATCTCTTTCCTAACTCATGTGTTCTTCATAGAGTACCACTCATTCACATAACAGATGGACATTACCCGTGATGACCGCATTAAAATGATAATCTTAACTCCCGGACCGTATAGATCAGATGTTAAGCCACCGAACTAGTAGTTCGAAGGCCTCTGATCCGAATTCTTCAGTGATCCACGATTTTATTTCCCCTTCGGTCATTAATAGTTCACAAATCCAAGGTTGTTTCAGATGATCTCATCATCAACTGTATTATTATTTTTGTTGTTACTCCATCAGATTCCGAAAGGAACACAAGTCTCTCCATTTCCCCTTGTTCATTGCAATCCTTTTCAAGATTTCCTATAATCTTCTCCTCCTCATGCAATTTTTTCCCTATCACCCTCAGACATACGCCAAACACGTCGTTTCCTACTCTGGTTCTACTCACTAGTTTACCTGGCATGTAATGTCACTCAGCGGTCTCCTCAGAGTGTGTGTGTGTGTGTGTGTTCAATCTATTTCCATTCCCCTCAGCATATTTGATGGTTGGACATAAGGTTGTTGATTGGTTCGTTCCCAGAGTTCCTTGTTGCCAGTTATTTTTTATCTTCAGTATCCATTCAACCAAATCAGGAGTTGATGAAAGTTCTCAGCCTGTTAGAAATGCCTTTGATGATGCGTCAAGTCTTTGAACCATAGAAAAGCACTGACTTGGCAGTAGCGTTGAAAATCCTTATCTCTTCCCTTACACTGAATGCGACAGATTGTCACAATGATTTCGGATTAATGAATGCCTGTCTTATCTTTTCAGTGCTGACCGGCTTCGATATCCTCTTTCGTGTTGCTTGTACTTGAAACAAAGCTACCCAAATAAGTGAGAGAAATGATTTCCTTCAAATTTCTCCCAGTGACAGTGAATGTTGATGGTGGTGGTTACTGGTTATTTTCATCACTTCCGTCATTTCTATTTTCACTTAAAGTCCTATATATTCACTGCTTCTCCAGACAATTTATCGTTTTCCGTCTGTAGATCTTCTGGTTTGTTTGATAATAGGCATACACAGTCTGCGAAGTCTAGATTTTCCAAAGTCATTTCATTAACCCAATCTATTCCTATCTTCTCGCTTTCCACCGTCTAATGCATGATCCAATCCATTACAATCATCTATATCGTAGGGAATAGTAGGCAGCCTTTTCTTATTATTGTCTTCACTTCAAAAGCACCGCTGAGTTACCTGTTGTAAATCACTTGGCATGAAGCATAATCATCGACAGAATTCTTTGATTTTCATTCAAATACTTTAGTGTTTGTTTTCACAAGTAGAAATGACTATCATTGTATTTATATCCTCTAATCACTACGATTATTATTATTATTATTATTACCATTGTTATTGTTTAATTTTATATTACAGATATAATCCAATGGGTGTTGATATTTGGGCGTTAGGCATAACATTGTATACACTTGTTTTCGGTGAAAATCCTTTTCTTGATAAAAATGATATACAAATAGGAAATTTACAGATACCTTATAAATTCTTATCAGATTCCTTATTACATGTATTCTTGTGCACATTAGAACCAAATCCATTGTTAAGAATAACAGCTAGCGAATTAGAATGCTTGTCATGGGTAAAACAGTCTGTAAATCCAGAAAATTATAAATTTAATGAAATTATTCAAAATCAGTGTAAGTTGTTTTTAAAATGAATAATAAACATTTAAATATGGTTGATATATCATTTGCTTTTAAGTTAATATTTGTTTATTCTTTCTATGCATTCCAAATGAAATAAAGAGTTTCAGGTTTTTTAAGCTGCAGGAGTGATAGCAATGTTCTTACGAAATGGGGTTGCTAACTTCTCAACCAAACTTTTTTTCTGTGCTAACTATCCGCTAATAAATTAGCTGAGGCTTAGAAATGCATAGGATGGGAATCAAGCCAGGACTTCCTGTGTGTCGGTGATCTACCAAAGCAAGTATGCGTTAATAATCTAAGAAGACAAATACTCGCCTATGACAACGGCTAGTGGTCACGCTGAAAACCAGAAAATGGCAGAAGTTAGAATTCATGCGCCACGGAGTTGAGTTCCGGTGGCTGAATGATCTACAAGCTTGCCTTGTAACCGGAAACTCCCGGGTCCAAACCCCATTGGTGGATCCGTACTGTCGATGAGCCCCAGACCAGGACGAAACAGCTGTTCAGTACTCCTTGCTGGTCTTTGGTAATTCTCTAACTGATATCAATCCTTGATCAAACTTGAAACAAACAGAAAATCACTGATCGTTTTAATAAATTATGTGTTACTATCCGTTTATCTTCATACTAGCTGCACAGCTGGCTCTTTCAGTGTCAGTTTTCATCATAATGATATAGGAGAAGAGCATATTTATGAAAAAAATGCTTAAGAAAAGGTGAAAAGACCTAACAGGATACTTACTGTCCTTTAATATGTGTGAATAATTACTAGTTTATAATTGAATGATCGATGGAAAACTCAAACCATGTCCTTTGTTTATATTCAACCAAACGACTACACATCATATCCTTTAGAACTACTGTTAGGTTTGAGGTTGAAGTCAGGGTTTAAGCATCTTTCGTCCTTTTGCTCAGTTTCTACATCCGAAAGTATCTCCACCAGTGGCCTGGAAATACTGTTGACATTTTCCAGCTAAGCCGTTAACCAGACAACATTAGAAAGTTGTATCCAAATGACATGTTTCCTGTAAAGTCTTAACAGCACACATAATAATAAATAAACTTGATTTAATATTTACGCTAACATTTATTGATTACTCCAAGGTGATCTTTTTGCTCATTAACTTCGATCACACCGAATAGTTTAACTTTGCTGCTTAGTTATTTAGCCCTTACTGTCGTATTGGAAATGTTACGTAATTTCACACTAAATATAAATAGATAGCAATATCGCGAACAATTACATCTCTGTAGAGGAATCTACATAATTCTAGTTGATATTACCTCTTGGATCCTCTAACAACACTAACTGATGCTTTTCGGACCAAGTTAAAGTATCACAATCGAGGAGTGCAAACGCACTGATGACTTTGAAGACATACGATTCGTTGGATAACGACACCTACCATTATAATACCACTGTTCATGAAGTGAGATGCAAAATTCATCCCAATCTCGTTTCTAAGCACTATTTGGATAATGTGTTGATAGTTCGTTATGGCTAGGGTTACCATAAGAGTTAAGATTAGGATTACGGTAAGGATCACGGTTATAGGCTGTTTTATTTTGATCATCCTCTTTTCTCTCGTACAAAATTTGTCGATCACCTTACTGGAACCTACACTAATTCAATCGAGGGTCTTTGCAGAAGATTGAAAAACACGAAAAGATCGATATATGAGTCAAGAAAACAACTCATCTTCGGTTACCTCGATGAATACATACACCGAAACTAGTCTAACTAAAAACATGATGCTTCTCATCATAATTAGGAGATATTTTTAAATCACTCCAGGAAAAAAATCTTGTTTAATGTGATTTATCAACATTCTTTGTGTTGCTCTTGTAAATAAACGTCATCTTTATTTAAAAACCACTAGCTTTTCTGATTGGCCGATTACAAGGTCACTCGTGAGTTCTCATTCCACGGACCACCATAGTTTAACTTCACCCGTCGTCAATCTTATTGTAATACACTATAATGGCATCTTAAGCAGTAAAGAGAAATTCATATTTTCGTCAACTGATAACACGACCAAATTTTCTGATGACGAAATTAATTGGTTTGTTTTTCCGAGATTACTGGAAACTTGATTAACAGGTTTCAAGGTCTAACGATGTACTGTATGCATCTAAGACATTCGAACGCATAAAGTTATAGGTGAACTAGAATTTGTATTTAATGTGTTTGGATAACTTATAAATAACAATAAAAATTTACACCGTCGACCAGATTCGCGAATATTTTAGACCAGAATATGGAAACTCCTAGTATCCTGTGAACGATGTATATATGATCAAAGGATTCCGGCCTAATATCAACTACTTTCCGATATAACTTCCTCCTACCAGGCTAATTCCTAACGAATTTACACCTATGTCTCCGTCTTTATTCTAGCTATAACTAATTGGAAAATAGGCGATAAGATTTCTACAAACCAGTGTGAAACTAGATGATTCATACTTGCATATAGTTATGATTGACATACACATAAATTAACGCCCACATTACCTCTATTCCTATTGGTTAAGAAATTTTGAAATCAAGGTCAATCTATGCTTGTGACTAATTATTTGCATAATACTATACTATACAAATAAAAGTCTCGAATGTTAATCATCAAAAATTTAAATAGGTTTAATCAGAAATAGCTATTTTTTTTAAAAAAATAAACAGAACTTTGCAAAAAAAAATAGCGAACAGGAAAGCATTTTTAGATGCTGAATTTTATGGAGTCAAAAATAGACAGACAAATGGACAAAAAGACAACAAAATTGACGTTTCAAGCTTGATCACGTACTGATATGAGCTGGAGAATTATTGAAAACCTTCAAGGAGTGTTGGACAGTTTTTTTCCAGTTTCGAACTCTTAAACAGTACACACACGCATGACCCCACTTGGGTCCAAACTCAGAACCTTGTGTTTACTGGGCTAGCTCACTGACCATTCAGGCAATCGGAAGGAATATAGTGGCCATACCATGAATTCTAACTCCTGTCAGCTCGCGATTTTCGGCACCACTCACCGCCAACCCCTGTCATCAGTGAGTATTTCTCCTAACATCCAGTCTGTTGAACCCCATTGCCTAAAAAGCTGTCCAGTTATACTCTTCGCTGGTTTACAATGGTTCTCTAACGGATATCAACCCATAATCAAACAAATCCTTACAAACTAGCACTTGAAAATTGTAGTTAGCACTGATACATCAATTAATTATTTCATCTTGTTTATTCGACCCTTTTATAGCCTTTTCTGGTAATATTACATGTGACTATCGTGCCAACAGTTCAGATTATTCCATTTAAAATTTATCAAAAAACTGGCCACTGCAGAATAAATGAAAGTACCATTACGAAGATGGCAATGAAGGCGACTATCATGACGAACCACAAAGACAAGAATGATGATCATATGCTGCTACAAATGACTATCATTGATTTTATTTTAATTTAAATAATAATTAAATAATTATTGGCATAAATACACATACAGACAATATGCAAAACATAATTCCTCATAATTTCTTTTATGCATATTTTACCAAATACAAAAACAGACAACAGAGTAAACTTTCTTTTTTTTATTTCTAGCCACAAAAAAATGTATTTTATTTTATTCCTTTCTTTTTCTACAGAAAAAATCTATTATCATACATATGTTATTTTGTAATTAGTATTTTATTTAAGAAGAATGAATAGATTACAAGTCAAAAAAGTTGCTTTTTCTTTGAAAATATGAGATGCTCACTGGCGACTAGCCCTATTCAGGTAAGAAGTTACCTGGGGTTCCAGTGGGAAGTCGTGACCAGTAAAGTGCAGCAGATCGGGTGTGAGGACAAATACTCTCCACGGATGACATTGGCTAGCGGTTGCGCTATATCGTGAATTGGCAGAAGTTGCAATTCATGGGCCATTGGATTGGGTCCCAGTGGCTCAATGGTCTACGAGCTCGCCTTGTAACCAGAAGGTTCTGGGTTCGAATCCCGTGGATGAGTACTGCTGGAGAGTCTCAAACTAGGACGAAACAGCTGTCCAGTACCCTCAGGTTTTCCAATGGTTCTCTAATTAATGTCGGCTCATGATGAAATCCTGTAACCAATCAACCAAATCCCTACAAACCAATACTTGAATATGAAAATATATGTGCTATATTTTCAAACATTAGCTTGTCAGGAATTGATTGGTTTGAAGCTTGATCATTGACTGCTACATCAATTAAAGAGCCATTGAAAACCAACAAGGAGTTACTCGGCTGTGATGTTTCGTCTTAGTTCGCGACTGCTTTTCAGCAGCATGCATCCATGACCACCACAGAGCATCAAACTCTATCACTTGAAAATTAACCTAATCCTCAGTGGTGACTGGTTACTGGAAGAAATTGCCTGAAGCACTCTAGAGAGAAGTCATGGTCAGTGGGGTCCACCAGGTTAGGTGTGTACGAACAAATACTCGCCGTTGACATCCCTTGACTGGGGAAACGCTAAAAGTCACTAATTGATAGGAGTTAGAATTCATGATCTGACCAGTGAATTCTGTCCCAGTGGCTCAATGGTGAACAAAAGCTCAACTTGCAACCTGAATATCCTTGGTTCGATCTCTCGCGGTGGGGTCATGGGTGTGTCCTTTTGAACAAGTCCCAAACAAGAATGAAACACCTATCCAATACTCCCTGGGATTCAGTGGTTCTCTAACTGAAATAATATATAATGAATGATACTAAACTGTGAAGAAATCATTGAAATAACAAAAATAAATTACATCATCCATCACTTTTCGACTAATCATATTAAAATTAGGATACACTGATTTCGTTCATGTAAAAATTCCCATCAGAATGTATACAAAATTAAGTGATTTAGTGAAGAGATTTTTTTCAACGACTTTAGTTAGTATCAAACTGTACAGTCGTATAAGTGTAGTTTAAAAAAAATTATTATAATATGAATCGCAACAAAATATTTGTGATTATAAACATAGTTTAACACTAAGCGACAAAAGTTTATTGAATACTTCATAAGATACTTCATCAAATGCATAAATCTTAGAAGAGCATGTATGGATAACAAAGCTACTAGGCGAGAATTACGATAACATAACACTGCAAAAAATTATGCAGTACGCTCTACCACTGTTATGTACTCGTCGCCAAATTATTGTTATGTGCTGGTCGAGAATTTAATAGTCCTGACGCAAGAAAGACGGAAATCAGAAGACCACTAGGGTTGCGATGATACTTCTATTTTCCAAACACAAGGAGAATCAAATCACACAAGAGTGTGCGAGCAAATATATAGATGAATGTCCAAACAAGTGAGTGAACAAATCAATAGACAGTCTTAACATGATTGGCTAATTATAATGGAGTATCGATCCATAGCAAAATATAGCAGACATGTCAACAAACACACAATTTATATGGATACATGTCACCAAGATCAGACTGTCAACACACACACATATTATATATAATATAAGGGGAATATACATTGTTAAAGGAGACAGGTTCATCAAAGTGAAATGGTCACAGACTATAAGAGCAACAGAAAAAGAGAGACCACCATACATACATATATATATATATATATATATATATATATATATATATATATATGGATACATATCAACCACTTCACTCCCTAGCTTAGAAATAGGGAGTAAAATGGTAGAGCATGTTGACGACTTCACTTTTTGGGGATGCTGCATCAGCCGGTGCCATCGCTGACGAAATCTTAGCACAGATACAGAAGACTCATTCGGCATATCCCAACTTACGCCATCTCTGGCTTAGTAGATGTGATATCCGACTGGCTATCGACCAAAGGGCGTGTGTACTGCTCAGCAGTCCGCTGCGTCCTCCTTCATCATGGCCGTGAGACATGGCCATTGAAAGAGGAAGACATGAAAAGATTAGCTGTCTTTGATCATACGTACCTGCGTTCTATCTCCCGTGTGAAATGGTGTAATAGAGTGAGTAATATTGACGTTAGGCCTCAGTAGAGTGTTAGGTAAGGAGGGGAATTCAATAGACGAGATTATGAATTTTCATCAATTGACATGGTTAGGACACGTGTTGTGTATGCCTGGCCATCTCCTTCCTCGACAGGCAATGTCAGCTCACATAGGATCAGGTTGGAAAAGAGCCAGTGGTGGTCAAACCAAAACATGGCTCCATCAGTCAATAAAATCCACAACAGTTAGCTTAAGCCACGTAGGGAGATATAGACTTTCTGACTGGAGTTCTAGGGATGGTAAAAACTAATGAATGCTGGAGACAGACATTTGGTGATATGGCTCAAAATCGTCGTTCTCAGTGATGGTGCAGATGCATCCACTCCTTGTGACTTATAATATCAAATAAATCTACATTGTTCTTTCACATTACTATACTTTTCACTTCATATTTCTATTTTGAACCTCTTTTTACTTTCTTCGCTTGTTTTGTGTGCTAAGTGAAGTATGGCAACTCGAACTGTTGCACATCGGTGCAAAGTTCTACGTTGAATTAAATAAATAATATTCACAAATGATAAAATACCGGAAACTGTTCGAAGTGAAAATAGTAACAGCAATCAAAATAATAGAGGCATACGTCGAGGAGACCGTCGAATGACATCATGAGCCAGGCCATTACTCGAGTGGAATCCAAATGGGAAACGATGAATGGGTCGTCTGAGGGTGACATGGATGAGGTCGTGCAACGAGATGAGAGATTATGGTCAAAGGAGGATCCAGCTGAAGAGGACAGCAGAGAATAGAACAAAGTGGATATGTGTTGTTGAAGCTCTATGTTCCACTCGGAACTCGAGGGAATAATAATATATAATAATACAGACTGAATAAACAAAGAAAGTAGTCGAACAGCGGGTGGATACTGGTCTACAACCTCTTCCTTCAATATTATCTATCAGCTGAAAAACAACCTGTCAAAATCACTAGATATCCGACTCATCTGCATTGCTGACGTTTTGGCAATCGCAACAGAGAGAGGTCAGAGGTTTGTATACATAAAATATTTGTTCAATCACCCATCCTAATCTAACGTTGCGAAACAGAGTTGATTTAGAATGACAAATGGAACGAGTGAAATAATACCGGGGACAGTTCCAAGTGAGAATAGTAATAATAACAATTTACAAAACGAAAATTTTGGTGGAGTCGAAATATGGTTAGGGACTACCATACTTTATCATAAAGAGATTAAGATCATGAAAGTTGAAGGGGTTGGACAAACTTTTTCTGTATACATAGATCTGGCTTTTCTGTTTCGATAGTCAAGCCTCCAGAAATACAGATGAGTTAGGTACGTAGTGATTTCGGCAAATTACTTCACGGCCTGTAGATGACTTTAAAGGCGGAGGCTGTCGAGATAAGGCGATCATTATCGACCAGGTATTTAGTGATCGCGCTTCTTATTGCTCCCCTTCAACCTCTTCGTAACCATGCAGGATAGTTTTCTTGCACTCTATCCTAATTTGTCTATGTTCAATTATTAGTAACGTCCTTTTCTCCATTAGCCCTGTTTATTTTTCGTTTTTCTGCTTATTCAAACTGTATATCTATCCATAACTGTTTTCATTGATACTGTAATTTTTATTTTCACTTTGAACAATTCCCTCTGTCATCTCACTTGTCACTCTTTATTTTAATTTTAGTTTTTCGTTAACTTTCTCGTGTAAAGAATTGAAGGCCCGCATGAATCACTCAGCTACATAAATTGTCTATCCATTAAAATGTTGTGCATTGACGCCATTTAGTATTGTTTTAATCATCCAATTACATCTATGAATCACAATCTATACATACACGCATTTTCAAATACGTTTCTACCTACAGTTATAAATTTTATGAATGGAACGGAAGGAGAAACATTGTGAAGTACTAGAGTATGCTTCTAATGGAATAATATATTCTTTCTCGAATGATACACTATTAATTTTTAGTGTTTCTGAAAACTCTCCAACAAAATACGATGAAAACTTCGCATCGTAAATGAATGAATTCATCAAAATGAAGTCATTATTATTATTAATCCCGACCGACGCACGGCTTTGATTGGCAGCCTGTTTAAATCAGTAGGGTACTAGAATTTCCATCCATCAATATGTTTAAGCTTTTCTGTATTTCTTATTGTTTAAATCATGCAGTTCTGCGTCGATGGCACAGCGGTTAGGACGCTCGCCGACCATGCATATGGTCCGGGATTCGATCCCCAGCCACGGACGCACTCCTTTATCTCGCTAAGCCAGAAATAATCCTGGTAAAGAGGAAAGGTTCGGCATGGAGCTAGCAATCCCATCCTGTAAAATTAAACACTGCTACAGAAACTTCAAGCCTCTAGCTTGGAGCCCTATGTTCCACTGGGAACGTGAAGGAAGAAAATCATGCAGTTATATCAAATGATCATTACACGAACTCGCGCGCATATTCAATTGCCTTTCCACTATAAACGCTGTCCAATTCTTGAAGGAAATGAGGAAAAAAACTTGCAGAATTGGTCGCCTCTTCATATGCAACAACACTACGTCACATGATATACTTCAGATTATTATATTACATGTAAATCCTTTACACAGAAGAAATATTCTGGAACTAAATACGCTGAAAATTTTTGTACTATGTGTTTGTAACAACAGAAGACAAGGGCCGGCAACAGATCATTTTATTATGGAAATCGACACAAACGCAGTCTTCTGATTGGCTGTTTCTCGGAAGTTAAGCAGACAAACGCAGGCCCCTGATTGGTTGTTTCGGGCAACCTCGGAAAGTGGAACCATCTATCTGCGAATCATATTTCCCCACGCTTAAGTCTGCTGTGACTGGTTGTTGGATCAGCCTTGTTCATATTTTCTCACGGACAATATTAGTGACCTAGACATTGACGTAGATTGATGTCTACCAATTGGCTAGCAGCCTGCTCTCACCACATGTTCACATATTGTTGTTGTTATTATTATTATTATCATTAATAGCTAAGTTGTCAACGTAGAAACTTGGACAAAAGTGTACCAGTTCAAGTTGCCATGCTCCCCAAAATACACGAAAGTTTCGAAAAACATTTGGAGTAACTATAGTGAACAGTTATTGATCGTCTGTTAGCATGTTGAATACCAGAGCCATACACAGTCAGCTCATAAGTGACTAAAACCAAACAGTCAGAAACTTCAAAGATTAATACCATGACATTTTTTATTCTAAACACTGTCAATCCAACATCAGTTAGTAATGCTCAACGAGGAAGGCATGCGTAACACGTGTTCTAGTCATCTCAATCAACTCAGATTCACAACCTCACCAATGTGTTTTCTCTACTCACTTAACACTTTACGACTAACTTAAATATTATTTTTCATATTATACTGTCTAACAGGAGAAATAAAACGTAAACATGTGTGGGGGGAGAGGTTAAAAGACAACTAGCTTCCTCAAAATCTTAAACTTTCAACAACCATGATTCTGGTCATACTTCTACGATAAAAACGTCCCCTGCATAACTTCACCAACACAAAGTCATAGACATATAGGGACTGATAAACTGTTCACGAAAACAGGTGTGAATTATCTTTCGGTCATTGTCAAATTGACACCAACTGATGGTATAATCTGTCTCAAAAACAAATACATCTCAATCGAAAGTTATATCGTCTGATTTTCAAGCATATACGTACAACCAATAAACAAATGCAAAAATACTAAAGAAAACTTCCAGCCAGGTTGGATGTTTTCGATGGAGTTGTGTTCTCTATTTCGGAATACTTTCAATCACACCTATTTTATTGAAATTAGAGATGATAGCTCCAGTAAATTTTTAATTTGTAAATCGATGATATGAAGTGAGTATATCAAGTAATAGTCAGAATTCTTTGTAAATTTAAACACTACACTGAAAATCTACGCAAAAATACTTCACCAATAAGGAATTCCATTCTCATTTATTTATAATTCTTATTAATTAATTCATAAATAATGATAATACTGGACTTTTATCAGCAGCTGTCTTTTCTCCATAATGAATATAAGATATTGTACCAGAAAGGATTAACAACATGGAACTCTGATAGGCAACGAACCGATCAAGATCCTGTTGTTATAAGAATAGAACTTGTACACTGTGGTTGGGTGTAATTCCATTGTGGGTAAAATTTATTTTGATAAAGTCTCACAGTGTTATACAGTAATATTTACCGTTGACGTCTTGAGCACAGTTTATTGCTGTTCATAATGATATCAAGACATTAGTCACACAACTTTCTAACTTCGTTTATATAATTCCATTATTTTCCATCGCTTGATTTGATTGGTAGTAGCATTTTCTATATTTCCGGTATGAGCGAGGAGTCATTCCTATTGCACGTGTAGATTCTATGAATAAGGATTCAGTAATCAATGTGTCTCTCTCAACCTACCTATATTACTTCTTAGAATTTTAACCCTCTCCCACCCTATTGTGTGGTTGTCTATTAATGTATGCAGTGCAGTTGCTGAGCTTTTTTCTAAATTACTCAACACGTGCAATAGGAATGACTCATCACTCAAACCAGAAATATGGAAAATACTACTACCAGTCAAGTCAAGCGATGGAAAATAATGGAATTATATAAACGAAGTTAGGAAGTTGTGTCAGTAATGTCTTGATATGATTATGAGAAGCAATCAACTGTGCTCAAAACGTGGTCCATCAGTAAATATTACTGGATAACAACACTGTGAGACTTTATCAAAATAAATTCTACCCACAAGATCCTTTTTCTCAACTAGCAAATATTCAAAAGGAAATGAAAGAGATGCCTTGGTCACACATTAAGGAGATCGTTGTGTAGCATTACGCGCCAGGCCCTCAAGCGGAACCTGAATGATTTAGGTATCGAAGGATGACATGGAGGAGTGAATGAAAGATTGTGCACTATCGTTGCAGCAAGCTAGAAAGGACTGCACAGAACAGGAAAAAGAAATGGAGATCTACGCTGTTGAAGTTCTATATTCCACTTGGAACCCAAGAGGACGTTATCTAGAGGCAAGAGAATATCCAAAGCTTCGCAGTTACAGAATAAAACATCCGCCACGAAGAATACTAAAATATTAGAGGCAAACGATCATCGCATCCCCTACTTATTATATTCAATACCTAATGAATATACACGGGACACACACGGCATACATACACACACACAGAAACGAACAATGGGAGATGAGTACGACAGGGGATTCATTTTTTCTAAACAAAAAATGTACATAATTTGATAACACTTTCTCTCTCTATTTTTTTAAATACTCTCTTTGCATCAGGTTATAGTAATGAAAATAAAAATTCACATTTGTATGCACACACATACATATATATGTACACAGAAACATGCACAGAAACACGTACACCCTCAAATACGCACACACACACACACATAGATTTGTGTAAGCGTATTATACACACAAAGAGAGGGAGGAGAGACAGAAATAAAAAAAGAAAATAGTCTGCAAATATACATACACAGGTTCAACTGAAGAAGAAGAAGGGAAAAAAAGGCAGAAGGAGAACAATAAATAGAGGAACAGAGAGAGAGAGAGAGAGACGGTTCTTCTCTTTGTTGTCCCCAAAAACAAAAAGACAAATGAGAAGAGTTAAATAGACAAAAAACAAAACGAAACAAAAAAGAAAAGAAGCAGGGGGATGTCCCCCACCTCCCCCCCCCCCAATTATTCATCAATCAAGTTTTAATGAGTTGAACACAATCATCAAATAAAGTCGTGAAGAAGATCGAAGTCAGAAAAATTAGTAACACGTGAGTAGGGAAGAAATGAACAACGGTGTTATCGTCGTCAAACGAACAGACAAGCAAGCCAGGAAGCAAAAGCAAACATAAAAATAGTAGATATACATTAAACAAAAATAAGTGTGTAGACAGACAGGCAACCTCTTTGATATAAGTTAATTTTTAAAAATCTGACTCGAAATAGTATAATTTCATATATGTGTAGAATAATGATACTACTATTAGCCGGATAAATGATGATTGTGCAATACAACTTGACCTCATTTTGGTTTATTTATCCTCACCTTCTTCATTTTTTCTTTCAAAAACCAAAACGGATACATGAGCAGTTGAATACAGAGAGAAAATTAGTCAACGTAAAAAAGATTGATACAGGGAATAATGAATGTTTTATTACATTGTCGATGTGAATATGAAAGTAATGTATGCAGCTAGTATGCGTGCGTGTGTGTGTGTCGGTGGGTGGATGGATGTAGGTATATGTAATAAGGCAGAAAGGTTTTCTGGTGTCTTCAAGAAACTGAAAATAATAAATGTATCATCAATATAAAAATGAAATATAAATAAATATATGGGAAAATTGTTTCCGTCCCCCACACACACACACCTCCTCAATTTTTATCAGAAGAAAACGATAAAATAGCTAAATTGGCATAACAAATTGGAAGTGCACCACTGTCGCTGTTGATAGTGGCAACAACGACGGCAGTGGCATTCTTGTTATTCTTCGATGTCAATAGGATAATAGAGCAAAGGTGTGAGTATTTAACAGATCGTAGGATGGGGGGGGGGAAGGGCATCAGCAGCAGTTAACAAAAGAAGAAAAAAGAGAGGGGAGAGATTGTATCAATACAATTTTTACACGCACGCACACACACTCACAGTATCACATACATACAATCTGTGAGTTGATAAATGAAGAGTGAAATACACATTCATACACACACATACACAAAATGCAAACTCGTCTGTCTTTTTTCAAGATTAATAAGAGTATTCTTCGTTTGTTTATTTGTTCATTTTTAATATATAAAAAAACGAAAGGCAGACTAAGGGGTACTCTTCGTAGTATGAAAGGTGAAATAAAAAATGTACACATATTCAACCATGATTTGGATAGATTGATTAATTGACTAATTGATTTATTGATTATTATCTATCAATGGGAATAACATGCAATTGTTTTGTTGGTTGTGTTTCACATTTTAAAGGTTTTGGTTCATTTGTCATGTCATCACGATTATTTTTTAGTTTATCACGATGAAGAAAGTATAGCAAGATAAAGTACAGGAGAAGACCAGAACCTTTGACAATTATTCCAAGACCTGAAAGTATAAAAAAGTAAAGCCAAGTGAACTGTTTAACTAAATGAAGATGTCCAAAATGATCGATCAGTTTAAAACTTCTCCTTAATGTTTTATACGTAATTCTATAAGAAATGATATTGCTCACTAGTTAGATTAGTTTGTCAAACATGTTATTGCATGGAGGATTTCATCATGAGCTGACATCAGTTAGAGAACCCCTGAATACCTGGAAGTACTGGACAGCCGCCTGTTTCGTTCTAGTTTAGGACTCTTCATCAGTCCGCACCCACCAGGGTTCGAACCCAGGACCTTCGGCTTACAACGCTAGCGAGCTCGTAGACCATTGAGCCACTGAGACCCAACCCAATGGTCTTTGAATTCTAACTTCTGCCAATTCACGACATAGCGAGACCATTTCGCAATGTCTTCTTCGATGAGTTACTGCCCTACTGGTCACGGCTTCCCCTGCAATCAAACCAAATCCCTACAAAAACCAATACCTGAAAAAAACATGTTATCATCAAACCAATGAGGTTAGTAGAAAGACAATCATTCACAAGGTCCGAATATCAGCTCAACGTCAAATGCATGCGGTCTATAATCTACTCATTGTTAATTACTGTCCCACCTAGAGATATTCTAAGCTCTATATACAGTCCGCGCGCCTTCAAAACATTTTCCATGGATTACAATTTATGACATAAATATTGCTCTGACTAGTACGAACTGTAATATCACACAACTTCCTGAATTACAGACCACCTATAATGGTATCTACCAGGAGAATTCACCGCACACACACACACACACACACAATTATTATAAAGTTCTACATGGCTACACAGCATTACCATCAGTAAACCAAACAAGTTACCACACATATGAAGATCAGATGCCCAGAAAATATCAGAAACAAGGAACTCCGTCAGGCAATGCACCAACCAAGAATCTAGTTGCTAAACGAATATGCACAAGTAAATGCAGCTGGATTAAACAAACACTAAGAGAATCCGTGAGTAACACCACTCACTAAGCTCTCGAGGGGAACCGGAATGGTAAACGACAAACGAATTGAGTATATGAGGAAGGGTAAGGGAAAAGATCATGTGAAGAGGAAATGAAAGTTTATGGGCAATCATAGATCCAGGTAAAGAGAACTTCAAGGTAATAATAGTAGTAATTTGTATCTTCAATTAATTGATTCGTACTGCACCGAAATGTTCAATCTACATTGAAATGTCAGCAACTGATGTGTACGCTTTCACAACGTCGACACAGAGCAAATATTCCGGGGTCTACTACAGTCAATCAACGAAAAATACAAATGAAACACAAATGATACTAATTGCATAAGAGATGGCTCACGTAGCCCAGTGGATAACACATTGGCGTCTGAAACCATAGGTGCTGAGTTCGAGTCTTAGTGGGAGGGAATGTAGGTACATCTACCTGGGAAGCTTTAAAGAAGAGGAAATGAGCATTCTAGATTCCACTGCTAGCTACAATCATTCAATAAACATCAAGTTACTACATACTTCTCAACTTTCGATTACTTTGCACCTTGATAAACATGAGTGGCACCGGTGTTTCAATAGCAGATTTTTTTTCTCATTCACGCACACAGTCAAGGTTCGATTCCCGATAGACACATCCATGGACGTTGCTTACTCGGTAGTAAGCCCAGCAAAGAGGGAACATTGGACGCGAGGGTAGCATGTTTGAATACTGTCAAATTCAAAATCGCCAACTAAGTCAAATTCCTAGCCGCCCACCCCCTCGTCGCTAGGTGGGAAGCGTAGCCTGATAAATAAGAAACCTTTCCCGGATAACTAAGGTCTAACTATTCAAGCAGCAGGTCGGGTGTGAGGACAAATACTCGCCGAAGACATTGGCTAGCGGTTGCGCTATATCGTGAATTGGCAGAAGCTACAATTCATGGGCCATTGGATTGGGTCTCGGTGGCTCAATGGTCTACGAGCTCGCCATGTAACCAGAAGGTCCTGGGTTCGAACCCCAGTAGGTGAGTGCCGCTTAAGAGTCCCAAACTAGGACAAAACAGCTGTTCAGTACTCTCAGGTTTTCCAGTGGTTCTCTAACCAATGTCAGCTCATGATGAAATCCTGTGAGGTCTAACTAACTATCTGCATATAAACTCCGCTAATCATCATCATTATCATAACACTCAAGACAAAGAGTTCTTCTATTAAGTCAATTTAGCCCTAAGATATATAATTAACTACAGAAGACAGGCATAAACCATAAATTGATGATAAATAAAACTATCATGAAGAAATTCAGTCAGCTATATTAAATATAAGAATAGTATACTAATATATGACACTGTAATACCAACTTACCTGTCATATATAAATTTAAATATCGTACATCAACGAATGCACAATCGCCTTGACGACCACATTCACTTCGCCAAAAACGACATGCACCATCAATTACACGACCAAATACTATTGGAGATGGCAAATTAGCTAAAAAGCGCACAATGACAAATTTCAAGCCTAAAGCAAATGAACGTTCATTATGGCCAACTGAACGCATTGTAACCATTAATAAAGGATTTTGTATAACACCAGTTAAAAATAATAACCAAGTTAATACAATAACAAATGGTATAAGACGATTACACTGTAGATCACATTCACCAAGTTTTGTAATACCCCAGATACTGCTACTGGTGGTGTATGAAATATTATTACGATTACTGGATTGTAATGTACAAGAACAATTGTGAAACTGAAAGGAAACAAAAGAAAAGAAAGAAAGCAGTTTAACGATTTTTGTTCTTAAGTGATGGAATATAATTTCGATAAAATATACAATAAATTTGTAAAACAAAGACACCTTGAAATTCAGTGAATGAATGCTACCATGATTGTCTCGTAACTAGTGGGGCCTGGATTCGATCCCGTGTGTGTTCAAAGGTATGCAGTGTGAAGAGTCACAGTACTCTTCCTCAGGTGTAAACTAGTGGTTCAATGATAGAATGCTCGTTCGATTCCCCACTCCCAAACTCTTAAGTCTCACCTAGCTTACTATTGGTTAGTAAAATCGATAGAGAAAGGGAGCTTCGAGGCATGAGGCTATTGATCCCACCTCGCACAAATAGTATCACCGTTAAATGTGACTTCAAAGGTTGAAGTCTTATTTTCTAGGAAAGAGAAAATGAAGTCTAACCAATGTTCTTATTGATAGTTTGAGAAAAACTGAACGTTGTTTATCTACTTACATACGAGTTAAAATTATGCAGTATATACCAGGACGTGAGCCATATTAATTGTGTGAGCAATTGACCAAGCTGAATTAGATGAAGCGGGATTCAAACCTGGTAGACATCAGTAAAAACGCCATTTTATTTTTATTATTAATTTCATTCTTTTACGTTCCCAGTGGAACAGAGGGCTTCAAGCTAGAACTTTGAAGTTTCAGTGGTAGGGTTGCTAGTCTCACACCCAACCTCCTTATTTACCTGTCTCATTACCGGCTTAGAGAGGTTTACGAGTGCGCCAGCGAAAAATCCAACTCTGGAACAAATGCTTGGTCAGGTCCCAATGCCTCAATGATCTACGAACTCGTCTCGTAACCGGAAGGTTCCAGGTTTGAACCCCAGTGAGCACATACTTCCGAAGAGTCCCAAACCAGGACGAAATAGCTTCCCAGTACTTAAAAATTCGACTGCTAAAGCCAAATAAGCATATCTCCCAAGACAAAAGCACACATTCCTGATCAAGAATTTGAAACAAAAGATTCAATCTTAGATCCATTTATTAAACTAAGTGTAATCAAGTAGTATGATCCATTATATCCTACTAAACACTCATCTGTCTCAGTAAAAAAAATACTTCTAATATTCGATCGACTAAACTACCTCAACTGCTAACAATAGAATTGATAATAATTCTTCGCACTGAATTTCACCATAATTCCCTATCTGTCCTAAGTCAAGAAAGCGACTATATGTGGCAGTGCTTTAAGATCAAGCAAAAGTAGGCAAAATGAGATTTAACGTTAACTGACCACATGAAAAACACTCATTCATGCTTTCGTTGAGACGCTTAAACACTAAATGTACCTCATAGCTTAATAAATACAAGAAAATTGTAAGTTACATAGTTGCATTATTATAAAAAAAAATATTAAGAACACTACGACAGCACATGATATCTCACATAGTAATAAGATCAACAAAAATACTAACTGGAGCAGAATCTTGTTAAATGGCTTAACAACTTAGACGGTGAAAGTAATTACCTCTTATGACAATCTTTAACATATCTTAGTTTGTAAGAGAGACAACATGTCACACATGATGGTGTAAGTGACTGACTGGTTGCCATGCGTAGGAGGTACCATTTACATCAACCAGTTAACTTGTGAATTGCCGATTTGATAGGATTTATTACCGCTTAACCGATAAAAGTAACCAGAATTCGGGTGATTTGAGCTGATTCAACTCTCTGAGATGAATCACACAGGGTACACCGCTGATGAGCCCCAGTCCAAACGAGAAGAATTACACTCCAGTGTTTAGATCGGTGTCGATACGGCTAGAGAGTACTACTGGTTGATATGAGTACTACTCAACTACTCATTTCATATAATTAGTAGTATATAGTATCACACATTTATGCTTGCTTTCTTGATTGCTATCCATTGTATCAAGCAGATCACATGTGTTGTGATTTGAATAATTTCAGTCTGCAACGGAAACTGTAGGGAAATGTCACCCCTCATCAAACTGCGTCAATTTCAAATTATGAATTAATTTGTAAATTGCAAATATGTCGAGAAATAATGAACAACAGTCATGGTATACACAGAGAGAGGAGTCGAAGTGTTAAGCTAGGTGAAATATATAACGCATAGTTGCAGTTACATATGTGTAATGCAAATCATCGTAATTTTGCATATTTTATTCATTAACAATCTGCTAATGACTTATCTTATTATCCTTTTTGTTGTTTTTTTTTACTAACCCTGACTGCTTCGCATCACGTATACAATTGCAGCAATTCTTTGCATTTTACTAACATCTCGACTCATTTCTCTCTCTCCCTCTCTATCTGCTCTTAATTACTGTTCAACATTTTCTTTCTTTTTCAATCAGCTACAGTAGGCTTAAGTTACAACAACAATCAATCACTTTTACTATCCAGTTTGTAAGCCAGTTGATTAGATACACAGGAAATAAACTGAATCAGTTTAATCGTCCTCCAGTTGTTACTGTTGTTGTTGTTCTTCTTCTTAATTCTTTGTTCAAATTCAGAAAGAGAGAAACATACGCATTAGACGATATCTTTGAAGGCTCAAAAGCAGTGGTGTTATTTTTACGGGGGTTTGGATTTCTAGCCTCAGACTGTGAACCTTCCCTTTTTACCTATCGACTAGGCGAAGTTTAGGCGTTCTTCAGCAGGGGATCGAGGCTGAATCACCCACCTGGCTGGCGAGAATTCTACCACTGAACCACCGACGTACAAAGTGTAATCCAACTAACAGATCACTACTGGGCTTCAAAATCTGGCAACATTCGGTATTCCCAGACAGTCAGCCATACAAATACTAACCGAACCGAGCCCAATGGTGTTTAACTTTTCTAATTGGACAAGAAACAGTGTTTATAACGTGATATGATGTGGGGAAAAGCGCTCCAATGCGAAGAGTCGAACCCAAGTCGCTTGAGTGAAAATCGGAGATCTCAATCGTTAGCAACATTTCAATCACATAAGAACACTTTCCATAACACGTGATAATTAAATATTGATTAATTGAAATGATGTACTTTTAACTTAATTTATGTAGTGTTAATGATACTAATTAAAGGTGAGGTGAAATATTTAGGGATTCGAACCAACAGGTGTCTACGAGTTACTAACCCAGGGGGCTTTACTGGGTGCTGTACAAGACTCGACTTCTAAACAAGTTATCACTTTATTTCAACCTTTGTGTGTTGCAGTGTCTACTTGTCCCATGAGCAAATTATCCATTCCTGTTCATTTATCATACCACTAGCTGCCCAGATAATATAAATGTAATGACACAACAGATACATACAGCCCATGATGATTGCAATAGAATGATGATTCCGTTAGCAGGCGTAGGTTTTATAGTTCATTTGCTCTACAGCTCCAAACTAGTAAGCTGAAAGCCAACCTGTTTTGCATCTTCCCTGAAACAAGTGTCACATCGATAACAGTCTGAAGAAATTCAAAATTTTCTTAAACAGCCTCTCCAACAACAAAAATATACCCTGATACTATGTATATACATATAAACTTACCTCTTGTTGGGAAGTGTTCGATAGAAATCGTTGTGTACAACCAGCATAACAAGGTGATATATATGTGATATCCGAAGGTGTATGACACACTGGAGACCATTCATTTTTATCACACGAACAACCAACATTACATCCTGATGACATTTCATATGCAAACGACGGACTAAATTACAAATAGGTGTGAAGGAGAACAAAAGAAAGCAAGTAAGTATATGATATTATTTAAGATAAATTACCACTTACTACTAAATAAATAATATAAACGTGAATATAAATGGGCTTTATGAATTGCTTATTAATAGCATTACCATTGATATCCCCTTCGGTTCTGAGTAAAACATAGGGCCTCAACAACACACCTCCATTTTTACCTGTTCTTAAAAGTTCTCTTTAGCTACCTCCATGATTGCCAATAAGGCTTCACCTGCTTCTCAAGCGATTTCCTTGATGTTACACTCCGACACACGCCCAACTCATCGTTTCTCATTCGGGTTCTACTCGAGGCCAGCTCATAGCACGTGATGTCAGTCTATGGTGAGAGCTGTCTGCTAACTAAAATTGGTAGACAGCAATTTACGTCAATGTTTACGTCCCAAATCTTGGTCACGAGAAAAAAACAAGAACAAAGACTTTGCGTGGGCGGATACGATTCGCAGATATATGGTCCGACCTTCAAAGAAACGGCTACAAAGAGATGACAGATTAACTTTCAGTGAGAGAACAACCAATCAGAAGACGCTGTTTCTCTGCTAACAATTACCTATAATAATGTACATAGAAATATATAAGTATCTGTCGATTTTCTCAATAAACATTCTGTTGCCTGGCCGTTGTCTTCTGTCGTTACAAGTCAATGGTATCCTCAGTGTGTGGCCAATCCATCTTCTTCATTTCCCTCCAAATATTTGCTATTTGAGCAAAAGAATCTAGGTTAGTTCATCCCTTGTCATAGTCCCATGTCACTTATCCTTTCTCTATGGCCACTGGTTTTTAATGAATACATCTGCGCTATTGATAATGATTTTGAGCCATATCTCCGAAATCCTCAGCGTATCGAGGTGGGTATTGCAAAAGCAGTCTACACCACCTTAAATGTTTCAAACCAACAGTAAACGACTTCATGAATTGATAATGATCAATCATCACCTAAACAGTAATATTTCAATTACAGAGAGCACAGATGACAATGTCAAGCCAAGACAGATGCGTTCATCACTCTAAAATCAATATTGAAATCTGCAGTACTCGGCATAAGGAATAATAAGATACAAATTTTTAGCACTAATTTCAACCAAGTCAATGTTTCTGTATAATTCACAGACTTGTCGAACACATCACCAAAAGCGTTTTCAACAACCTACTGAAGACTTCCACCGACATCTGCCTTCTCTGGCTCGATGCTGAAGATCAGACGGTCAAAAAGGATAGGTAATAAGAAACGCTGGCAGACAACAAACCAACCAAGAGCCTATTACCCAACAGATATCCGAAAGGATTTGGAGATGGATTGAACATACATTGAAAAGGCATTCAAATAATATTAAGCGACAGGCAAGCACTTCCCTGAACGGGAAGTGACGAGTTTGGCGTGAGTCCAAGGGTAGCATAAAGAGGATCATAGGAAGAGGAGGAGGAAATAAAAGCGTGTCGGCTGTCCTGGAGCCAGATGAAAATGATAGCAATAGAGGTGTATCGTTGAGACCATGTGTTCCACTCAGAACTCAACGAATGAACCATAATAATTCCTCAATCATTATATACGCAAAAATCAATCTCTCATCTGACTGTATTATGCCCATACTGTGAAAAGTACTTTGTCTTTTAATTAATAAGCCTATAGAATGAGTAAAGTGTCACACAACTAACTAGTGAATTTAAAAAAATTAGTTCTCCTTATGAATTTAGATAAAGCAATAAGAAGACGTGATTTGTCTGAATCGTGTAATGTATTTGCGAAACACATTTCGAATCTAGTGAAGCTTCATGGCCTAAACGCTATAAGTAAAGATAAATTTGACTCTTTAAAACCATCAGAATGTAAATTCCCGCATATGTATGGGTTGCCAAAAATACATAAACCCAATAATCCTCTACGTCCTATATTGTCAATGTGCAAAACCCCAACGCATAAACTTGCTAAATGGTTAGTAGAATTATTGCACCCAGTCAAAACACAATTCTGTAAGTATGTGTTAAATGATACATTTGAATTGGTTAATTTTATTGACGATATTAATATTATGAATAAGAACATGTACTCTTTTGATGTAAACTCGTTATTCACTAACGTGCCTTTGCTCAAAACAGTTGACATTTTGTGTGATTACATTTCCATAAACAATTTTTTCATCCCGTTCGTTATATCTTATTTAAGGGATTAATTACTTCTATGTACTAACAATGTTTGTGCGTCGGTGGTACGACGGTTAGGACGCTCGCCGACCATGCACATGGTCCGGGGTTCGATCCCCGGCCGGCGCATTCCTTTGTTTCGCTGAGCCAGTAGTGAGACTGGTAAAGAGGAAAGGTTGGGCATGGGGCTAGCAACCCTATCCTGTAAAAATTAAAACTTCTACAGAAACTTCAAGTCTCTAGCTTGGAGCCCTATGTTCCACTGAGAACGTGAAGAAAAACACTTAGAATGTTAGGTTTACATTTGAAGGCGATTATTTCCGCCAAGTTGATGGTGTTGCTATGGGAATTCCGCTAGGGCCCCGTTTTTGGCAGATATTTATAAGTCATACATTGAGAATTTATCGGAGGAATTAATCGAAAAATGACGTCGCATCCCACTGTATCTACCCATCTGAATGTACGTGCGGACACACATACATAGGCAGAACCTATCGATCTCTACAAGTAAGGGCTGGCTTCAGAGCATATTCCTAAATGGCTTTAGAAACAAATGGAATCTTCAGAACCCATTGATGGTGAGAATAGAAGACGAAGCTCGTCTATTGCGAAACATATTATAGAGACGGGACATAAAATTGACGTTAACACATCTTTTAAACCTATCCATCCATAAAAAAGTGTTTGAGGCGTATCCTTAAGTTTGTGGAAGCTCTAGCTGGCAATTAGAAAGTTTAAGCCACCTTTATGCGTTCAAAGCAACAATTCGTCATCACATTAAACCTTCCTTGGTAAATTTTGTTTTGATACCACAGCAGATGTACTAATTACCTCTGCTATTTAGTTTAGTGGTCTTCATTGTTATTTTGACCTACAGTATGTCCTTTTAACTTCACCTAAGTCTATTTTCTCACCTCTTAACTCTTTATTAATTTCATATACATACTCCTATGACAAGTCCGTGTGTTATCAATTAGATTGTTCGAAATATGCGTTGAGCAAATACATTACCCGATTCAGACAAATTGGATCTTATTGCGTTAACTACTGAATGCCAAATTGTAGTAATTAATATTCAACAGAAATACACAAGGCATATTAGATAGAATTAAATGTCAACTGACTTGAAGTTATATTTATATCTACAATATTTATGCAGTTATATATATCAAATTAATCATCTCACATGTGATGATGTTGATAATGACAATATGCAAAAACCACCATAGTCGACTGTTAATACCAGAAATATGCCAAAAATAGAAATTCAGTGAAGTTAAGAAAAACAGACCCCCCAAGTGTTTTGATATCCTCCCTCCTTCCCGTCCCTACTACCACTACTACTACTACTATCATCAGATCACAAGACCTAGATTTATACAATCCAAGAGTAGAATGATTTCTCCTCTCTTATCTCTTATCACGCATACACATATACATGCATACATACATACATACATAAATATAGTGCATAAAACTCTGTTTTTGTGACCGGGATTTAATCAAGAATAGGATTATGCAACAGCGGGCAGCAAATGCAACATATACGTATTCCTCTCTCCTCTCTCTCCCTCTCTCTCTACCTTTCTATTTATTTATGTATAGAGATCTCTTATAATCTCTCTTACTCGCTCTAACTACAACCGTGAAACTAAAAATAGTGAAATCAAGCAGAGATATGTGAGTGAGTGACTGACTGAATGAATGAAGGAACGCATGAACGAATTCTCTAATCATCAACATTTGAATAATAGTAACAACAATAATAATAATAATGTATTGTGTGAATACAACCCATTTATCCCTTTGTTTTCTCCTATCCAACAAAACAAACACATTCACAGACACAACTTTTACGATTAATGAAAACAAAAATTATTAGAATTTCTATTTTTAGAAACTATGAAATTTCTGATAGAAATCTTAAAGTACTGTAACGGTAGAAGACAAGGTACCTCTATATAGCCAAATTATGTACACCTTATCTTCAACACACCATTTGCACAGATCTTCCGTGTTGTGCTACTTCTAACCCTCATATTGTGTTTTGTGTGTGTGTGTGTGTGTTCCTTTCATGTCTCCCATGCATCATTTGCTTTTTCTGACATCAAATCTATCTCCCTGCTATTTGATATTATGATGCCGATAAACGCCCATTTATATACTACTGGTACATCTTATTAGTAGTACACACAACAAAAACGGTCCATATAATTCATTTAATGCAAATAAAAAATTTTTAAGAGTTAGTTTATAGGGGGAGACAATTCGTAATCATACTTGATACAAATCAAAACCCTAGAAACTTACTAGTGACCGGCTAAAGGACAAAGTTGTCTAGAGTTCTAGTGAGTGGTCGTCACCAGGTGGGGTCTACATCAGGTTGGGGTGAGGACAAATGTTCGCCGATGACAATGGCTGGCGGTTGTATTAAAGTCGCGAATTGACAAAAGTTAGGTTTCAAGAGTTATAAAAATCCCCACCCAAGTGGCTGATTGGTGAATGGGCTTGTCCTCTTAACCTGAAGGTCCTGGGTTCGACCCCCTAACGGTAGGGGTATGAGTGCATATGGCTGAATAGTCTCAAACTAGGACGAAACAGGTGTCCAGGAATCATTGTTCGTTTTAGATGGTTCTCTAACTGATATCAGTTCGTGATCGAAATTGAAAATAAACAAAGCATTTCTACGCTTTCTAATATTAGATCCGCGATATGTTCCATTACACTTTCGTCTTTTTCCATTGCAATACAACTCGCATATTGTCTTTAGAGAAAATAGCCACACAGAGAGATACAAAGTATATACCCCTA